TTCCCATGCCCATCTCTGACCCCTTGCTGCCCCTCTGTGGTCATTCTGCAGTATAGCTGTCCCTCTTATCAGACCCTTCCCCTTTCCATTTTATGAGAAACAATCAAATTCCAGGCACATCACATTGTTCCAGCACAATCAAACCCTGACCTTGCTTTAAGTTATATAAGTTTAAGTTATGATAAGTTATGACCAAATTTGGTGGTCTTAGCTCCTATATTTAGGAGGATTTCTAGAACAAATGGACTCACAGATAGATGGATGGACACACAAAGTTTCTAAAATATAGAGTAGATGATTAGTGGGCAATTCTAGAAGTATTTTTTGGAATTTACCATGTGTTATGTATGTATATCTAAGAATTTTACAGAGGTGTATTTAAGAAATTGTATGTTCTTATCTTCTCTTAGCTGTTCACTTCTGAACATGAAAACCCTAAGGCTACGTCTACACTGGCCACAATTTCCGGAAAAGCCATGCAAATCAGGTAAGTCAGGATAGGGAAATCCGCGGGGATTTAAATATCCCCCGCGGATTTAAATAAACATGTCCGCCGCTTTTTTTCCGGCTTGGGGAAAAGCCGGAAAAAAGCCGCAAGAGCTCTTCTACAAGAGGGCAGTATAGACTGGCAACATGAATTTCTTGTTCAAGAAGCCTCTATGGTTAAAATGTCCATCAGAGCTTTCTTGCTGAAGAGAGTGTCTACACTGCCATGGATGCTCTTGCACAAAAGCACATCTCCTGGGCAAAAGCACATGGCACTGTAGACGTTCTCTTGTGGAAGAGTTTTTGCACAAGAACTCTTCTGCAAAAGAGTTCTTGCGCAAGAAGCTGCCAGTGTAGACATAGCCTAAGGGTAAAATTCTGACCCCCGCTGATATCAATGGAGAAAACTCTCATTGACTTCAATGGGCCAGGATTTCAGCCTTCAGGCTGTTAATGACTAACATGCAGGCATAACACAGGGTTTTTTCTATTAATGTTAGTTAACTGATTTTATTATGAGAGAAAATTAAATTCATGCTTTTTTTAAGCATATCATGGTTGACAATGTCTGTTTTAAGCTGTGCAAAAGGTCCCCCTCATATTAACTGCTAATAGAAGAATTTTGCGGCATCTCTTCTTGATATAATGTATCTTAAGCCATTTGAAGTCACTCTGGTTTTGTTAGAACAATATCCACGGTGGCCTCGTTGTGGTATAACGAGGTATGCAGGTGTGCACAGCACTTTTCTTGGCTTAGTCCTTTTTAGACAACAAAACAAAAGTGCACACGCACACACATAAATTCATCCCAGCTGTCCTCTTTGACATGCTGCTGATTTTAGCACTTCATCATTGTATCAAGGCTGGTGCTTTGAAGAAAAGCCTGAACAAAGTATGCCTCTTGGTAGCCATGGTAGCTGAGGGTTTTTTTTAAATAAGCTTTTTCAAAGTCATATAAAAAGGTGATTTTTAAAAGATGCATGCGCTCAGGAAAACAGCCACAGCAGACAGGCAGTGTGTCAGTGACCGTCAGCCCAAGCACGCATTAGCAGAAGTGTTGCCTGCAACCCTATTACATATGCATTCTTGGATCATATAAAAGTGTGGCCTGGACCTAGGTACCCCCTTGTGGGAGCCCTGTAAGCAACACACTCCCTCCCCTGCCCCCTTCCCCCGTAGCTCAGTTTTCCTTTTGGGTTCCCATTAACTTTTTTGAGTTTATCCTCCATTCCTCCATAGCTGCTTAACTAAAAAAATGAAAAAAAAAGACAAAAGCCCCAAAACATGGTCCCTATTCTCCCCAGCATGACTTATCTGTAAAATCCAACTTCAGACTCATCCCAGCTGGGCTCTGTGTCAGTCATCCAGGGTCCCCCTGCCTGTCCTCCCCACCAGG